TGGTATTATCATTAGTGTGTCGACTCTACGCAGGACACCTGAGGTAGATAGTTGAGATGGGGATGTATGTTGTGGGCAGGAAGCACCATCGGTTCATGTCCAATTTCTTTTCCAAGTGAATGCAATACACTCTCCATACTTGTAACTGGTGATGTCTGTATAAAATAAAGCTTTACTGAACTCACCCCATCCACTGATTGGCTCTTTGTTATCCCTCCCATAACCGATTGATCACTTATTTACTTTTTGACCTTACTTGACATTAAATTCCATCTGTTATAAGAGTAGCGGGCTCCTTTAAGGGATAGAGCTGTGCGCATGTGGCAGGTGCGTAACTTGTGGTGGTGTGTGTGTGTGTGTGTGTGTGTGTGTGTTGTGTGTGTGTGTGTGTTTGTGTGATAGGTAGTGTGGTTGTGGTGTGGGGGGTGTGTAGAGCGAGAAGAGAGAGGGAGCGGCAGAGTGGAAACAACGTGCGACGGTGAATGGCAGCAACAGCGAGAGACTGGTCGCAGTGATTGTACAGTTTATGTCACAGTTGTGGGTGAATAAAGGCTGTGCTTTCTCAAAGACAAAGTGGAGCCTCCGTGTGATGTTGTTGCCAACTGCGCAGATAAAGTGAAGGGGGTTCAGCCCCGAAGTTAGAGTCAACTTCGCCTGGAGGAAACTCTCCCCTGTGTTCCCGGACTACGGTCTGAGAGCCGAAACAGAATGGTTAACACATCTAACGTTGTTATTTTCCCCCGTTTTTTTTACTTAGGAAGAGATGATTGCAGTTTCCAGGAATTTCCCCCCTCACATTACTGTTAATGTCATTTTAAAAAAAGAAACCGATGCTGTAGAGACATGTTGGGTGACACATGAGTGGGTTTCACTGGGGGTTTCCCAGACACAGTGTCTGGTTTGGTGCAAATCCCAGACAGAAGCTGTGTGACTGCAGTGAATCTACATTCTGAGGTAAGAATACTGTATTCCTTTGTAACTGTTATTATTATTATTCATAGTCTCTGCTCCGCGCCGTCAAACCAAACTCCATTCAAA